AGAATGAAGGAGAAATTCACAGCATTTTCCCATATTCTTTCAATAATAAAAAATAACATTGAGCTAGCTTGTGGAAGACATGACATTATGGATACTTTTTTTTTTGAAATCTTGTTTCTCTTCTAGTGTTACAAACTTTCCTAGGACTAGAATTTGCTCTTGCTCATTTGTTAATGAAACTTTCACTTTTAATACTTAGGGACTTTACATGATGTTTAAAGTGCTATATCTAACTGCGTCTAGCTGTTAGTGCTTCATGCAGCTTTCCAAAAGGCAGAATAGATGCGAGCGGTAAAATGTGAACTAGGCAATTTAAATAAGATATTAATAGAAAGTGTTCATGCCTCAGTCATCTTTTTCTTAACGGATGTGATTTTTAAACAATACTTATTATTCTGGGTCATCTAATCTCATGAAAACAAATACCTTTAGTTTAAGTTCTTCGGTCTTTGACTGACTAACAATAATAAAATTAGTTTCATGTTCAGATATACTAGAAAATACCAGGGGAAAGAACCCAGGTACTTATTTCTGTCAGTGAATTAGCACTTGCATAGCTTTGAAATTAATTGTTTAGTATGCTCATTACTCTTAGAAAAAATAAATATGTTCTCATTATGTTCACTTGGTGAACATATGTATCTTGCAATACATTTAATGTTACTTGCTGTGAGGGAGATTACAACTCTTTTTAAGGAAATTGGGTAGATTAATGGAATGGGGTGGGTTAAATTGCTCTCCACATGCATTCCCTAGCATGCCTAGCCTACTCCTGAATTTTAATTGATATATATAAAAGAGTTTAGCTGAGGATGCTCTGTGAAGCAACTGGAGTAAAACAGGGTATAACCTGTGTATTGCAGGGGCTGGGCTAGGTAAATGTGCTGTATTTTAAAACAAAGTGAATAACACATGGGACTGTGTTTTATGGCGATAATCATAGCCTGCATGTGAATGGTTGTGTTTTCAGCAACATCATTGTGGCTGTATGCATATGGATCTGTGGTGAACTTCAGCAGACATTTTGAGGCTGTTCATAAGAAGCTTCCCTAACAAGCGGACAGAATCCATGAAAAAAAACCAAATTGTTACTTTGTCTTATTAAGAAGCCTACGCAGGTTTAATATACAACCTGTGACAGAGCTTGGAGAGGGTTTTTCTGATCCTTATTCTTGCTTTGAATTACCAGTAACAAAGAAGATGATTACTAAGGACTAAATACTCCTGATGCAACTCACTGGTTTCAGTAGAAGTTCTTCCAGAAGCAGAGTAATCTTAACATTGAATTTTTACCAAATTTCCTGTTTCGAATGAGAGATAAGGTCCACATAACCAGAACACCTTGCTAAGGTTGTTATTTTGGGGGGGGGGGGGGGAATAAAGAAAAAACCTGAAGACTTCAAAGCTTAGTGCTTTAATAAAAAGCTTTCAAAATTTGGAATAACATAATATATTTTACAAAGACAATACTAGACTAGCAGGACTTTTTGATGACTGCCTTAAAGTTACTGCAGTCCCAGCTATAGTGTAAATTGAATTTTTTTTCTTAACACCATCCCTTCTCTGCCCCCCTGCCCCTGCAGTTGGTGTTGGAGCATTCCTAGTACGCATAGTGCTCCCATAACTTTATATTTTATTTTGCTGAATATGCACTTAGTTAAAAATCAGATTTAATTGCAATAGCTTCTTATGTTTTCAGCTAAAAGGGTGGCTTTATGAGATGGGAATAAAATGGGTGTGACACTTTTAATGATATGGAATTTCTATATTGGAAATTTATGTTGGATCACTGCAGGCCATATGCCAAACCTGTCTTGATTTACACAAAAATGCTGTGTCAGAAACAGGACTCCCAACTGCAGAATGTGCCCTATCCCAAACAACTGCCTTAAAATCACTTATTTTGGAGTAATATTAATTCAAATTCTTGATACATTACTCACTATAATATAACATAATGTTTTAAAATTTTTACAGCCTTTTCATTAATAGATGATGATGAAGATTAGAGCTAGTATTTTTTGTGTAGACTTCTTAATCATAGCTTTTAAAGTTGAAGCTGAGCAATAAACATCTAATGAATAGCTTGTGGCAAGTTTATTCTCAGAAGCTATGTTACTGTGTTGGCACAGATCAACATAACCATTTATCACTAAATTCTCAAAACTTAAAAACTGTAGCTATCAGTTGTACATGCTCATCATTCTCAATGTACATTCTGTATGAGTAGTTTATAGCATTTTAGGATACTTGCAACATAAATCAATATATATTAGTTATAATGAATATGTTCTCCTCTAGAAGAGGATGTATTAGGGAATTAAACCATTCTTTAACATTTTTTTAGCTTGATCTTTGTCTTTTAAAAAACGTAAAAGAAATCATTGTCATGGGTTATTATTAAAGGAATTCCTTAAGGTAGTCGTATTTGAGGGAGTCATCTGCAATATATATTGAGTTGTGTTCTGTAGAGACAGGCCACTTGGCTTTCTTCCCAAAGTGAAGTCTTCAAATTTGTGGAAATAATGAAAGAAAGTATAATACTTTGGTGGTGCCCGTAATCATCAGTGTTGTGCAAAGATGCAAGCTTAACTCTGCTACACATGTTGTGTGGCTGTGCCACAAGTGTGTACTCAACGTGAGTTGAATTTACTTCTATGTACTTACTTATAGCCCTATTTTTTTCTCTGTCAACATATTACCTAAACAGATTTCTACAAAAATACGGCAGTGTTATGTGCTGATATGCAGCCATTAATGATAATGGATTTATACCTATTTTATTTTTAATGAAATAAATGTGGCCATTTATGTAAAACACGAAATATATAATTCATAGGTTCACCATTACTATACGAATAGCATCTTAATGTGAAATCCAAAGTTCATAGTACTCTGAAGAGTGATATATTATGTACCCACATCCTCCATCGGGGAACTTGTCTTGCCCTTTCAACATCTGGAGAGATCAAACAACAGCTCATCTGGCAAGAATGAGAATTAATGTAGCAGAATAAGCGTGGGATTGGGACAAGCAAGATCACAGATGCCCGAATAACTCTTCTCACCAATGATCTCTCCCCTTGGTCAGATGGCCAGTGTGTTTGAGAGATTGGAGGTCTCAGGATTCCTTTCTTGCATGTCCACAGTGCTTAATTTTTGTATTGCTGGGTGCATACATTAAGTGTTAGTTGCAAAACTCCTTCTAGAACTGTCTTCTCAGTAATTTTCCACTTACTGGCTGACCTACCTGAATTTATTTGTTACATTTACTAAATGTCTGACTAGCCATAAGCTGCAGAAAACCAACCAGAGAACTGAAATGAATAGGAAGAAAACACCCTCACTAATTTACCTTTCTGACAGTTTAACAGACCCCAAAGCATTTACATTACTTTCCTATTTAGGCAGTTAACTTCTGAGAGGTTTTTAAACACCAGGGACCTCTAGCTTGAACAGCCACCTTGGTCAGCAATCCAAGATTTAGGCAGATAGTATATTATTTAGGTAGTGGGAATATAAGCAATTTTTATATTGTGTATGTGATTTAGTATGTTCTGTGCCAGTTTTATTTCAGATTTAATTCTGGGACATGCTGCGCTATGTAGTCCTTTTGGATTTCTGCAACTGTTGCGCTTGGAGCCGTGCTCCTGCTGCAGAATTCCAACAGGAGCAAACATAAGGGGATTCTTCCGTCCTTGGCTTGCCCCACCATTTGTTCCACGTTTTAAACCAACTGGTGCTGTACCCAGTGGAGTACATCTGTTACAGTTTATTACTAGAAATTTGCAATTCATTTCAGTTTGCTAAAATAATTATAATATTCATGGCCAAGAGTACTGTGTTAAGCAATTACAAAGGAGAGTAGGCAAAATTTTGCTAAAGTGTATGTGTGATTCAGGACCTACTGCCCAGTTTGGGTGATTTGGGCACTCAACAGCCTATCACCAATGAGTCAGATGTGCTCTGACAGTTGAGTTTGATCAACTTGAGAAATTAACGTAGCAACTGAGATGCTGTAAGTGACATCCCTTATGTGAATGTCCCTGCTCTGTTTTAATTAAGAATGAAATAAATTAGCATAAACCACCACTGAATGCATTTGGTTGCCACATCTTGCCCGAGGTACTCAGCTGGGGAACACCCAGAAATGGAGCAGTCTTTACTGCTGGAATTGCAGAGGCATATCTGATTACACCCTCTAACTCTTCCTGAAAGTCAAGAGCATGTAGGCTGCTAAATAGTCTATACCTTTTCAAATGTTGTAACCCACTTTTTTGTCTCTTTGTGCTTCAGGCAAACTGGGAGTTACTGTATTGGGGTATGTTGTTACTTGCAGGTAGAATTTTCAAGTAGGTGAAATTTCTGTTTTGTGGGGAAAATGGATTACTGATTAGTCCAGAGTAAGCATTAAATAGTTGATTAGAAAGTGACCCCTTTGCATTTAAAAAAGAAAAGTCCTTGTAAATATTAACACAATAAAATCTTGATAGAACAGATTACTTTTTTCATCACTATCACCCACTCAGTCAGACTTTTAAAATAAGGAAGCATCCTGATTTAGTATTCATAACCCCATCATACTCATCATGTTCAGCTGCCATTTCTGTAAGTCATTCTTACATATATTTGACATATAGTAGCAGAATAAGCACACTCTGTTCACCACAGTGGAGAAGCATAGTGCTAAAGTCAATTTTTTTTTTAAAGGGAAAACTTACAAAACCAATTCCAGGAATTACAACCAACAATATGCCTGTTTTGGTGCTCCATCACAGACCTGAGTCTGGATCTGTGGCTCGCACGCTATTCACACTCATCCCTTGAATTAAATGAGGTCAGTTTTGCTATGGAAACCTGTCATTTGCCTGATTTAAAAAAAGAACTTGGGTTCCAAAAAGCTGATTTAATTTTGTGAGTTACACCAGTATAATGAAAGATGCTACAAACTTCATTCTGCCTGTGTCATCAGACCACCACTGTCACTCAAAAGTGCAGCTATGTTCCCAATATTTGTTTGTGTCCTTGCAAGTAACAGCATTGTAAGAGAAATGAAGTTAATTCATCAGCTCACTAGGCGTAGAAGCAGATTCCTGTGAAGGGGAAGTTGGAATTTATACTGAAACGATGAAACATCCAGAAATAACCCAGATCCTTTAAAATATTTTTTGCTTGTTTTGCTTTACAAGTGTTACTTAGAGTGATATAATGAAGCAGAATTATGTGTTTCTGTATGCTGTACATAACAAACATCCGGGAATGGAAACGATTATCATGGACACTAAATATAATTCTGTGTTTTAGCAGTCCTAGAAATATCTTTAAATACTCAAAATCTAAGTGGTGTGGACAATACAAATCTAAACAAATTCATATGAAGTTGGGCTATAATATTGAGTAATTGTGTTTTGGTTTTTCGTAGCACTGTAACTAAGTGTGTGAGGTGTGATTTAAGAGCCTTTGAAATTTTTTTGAAATTTTATCTATTTATTTTAATATTTTCTGTTCTCTTTCTACAGAACATTCTGGCGCTAAATCCCCGAAAACAGACACATGCAACTCTTCATTCAACTGCAGCAAAGAAACAAGTCAAGAAGCAATGGAAAAGGAATTCTGACAAAAGCTGTTCAGTAAGTGCACGTTTATTATTGCATCGAGAACATGCAATAAATCATTGAGGCTGAAATCTCAGTTGTGTGAGAAATTCAATTTGGGTTTCCTGTGTTGTCCAGTAGGCAAATTTGGCTCCTAGTTCTGTTCCTGTAGATAGAAAGTTACTTTGTGGTCAGCTGTTTACTTTTCAGAACCCGCTACATGCCATGCCTTTCTCCTTTTTGGTGATGCAGTAAGTCTTTGCTGCAACTTTTTCCCCTTTTGTTATGGAGTCTGATCCATCTCAAGTATCAAGATTAGGAAAGAATTTTTCACAGAAAGAGTGGTCGGGCATTGGAATAGGCTGCCCAGGGAGGTGGTTGAGTCACCATCCCTCTGTGTTTGAGATGTTTAGATGTGGTGTTGGGGGATATGGTGTAGGGGAGAACTTTGTAGAGTAGGGTAGATGGTTGGACTTGATGATCCCAAGGGTCTCTTCCAACCTAGACAATTCTGTGATTCTGTATCACAGCTGGCTAACCACCTCCTGAGCCTCGCAGAGCCGCTTGTTCTCCCTGGGTAGCCAGCATCAGCTGCCTCTTCTGTACCCTGCAGGGCTGCTGCCCACTTGCTCCTTTTCTTTCTGTTTTCCAAGGGTAACGCTGGGTAGAGCAGCACTTCACTATCCTTTCTGAGACTTTTAAAGGTAATTTATTTCAGATAGGGGCACCCATCATATGTACCTATTTTATATACATATATATGTATAGAGAGAGCTACCTATATATGTACTATGTATGCATGACCGTATGTATGTACATTATATATAAATATATACAGCTTAGATTGAAACATGGCTCTGGATTTTAAAATTTTGTGCCTTGTGTTTTTCAGGAAATAGGCGGTTTTAGAATAAATATTTTTTCATTATAAACTGCCAGTATTCGTCAGTATTTCTGCATTAGATATCATCATTTTCTCTCCAGGTATTTAGATTCCTAGTCTCAGTGTGGTATTTGACTAATCCTATCAGACTTTGTTGTCTCTTTTATCTCTCATCTGATTAGAAGGTTTGTAGTGTTTTTACTGTCTTCTTACAGATTCTCTTAGATAATCCGCTAAATTCAGAAGTCTTTCAGGTAGAATACTACTTCTTCATCTGCAAACTATTTCTCTTATGGGTACAATGTTATGGTGCCTTTTCATAGTGTTATCAAAACATCTTCTCCCACTAAGTAGGAAGATTCAGGTTTGATACCTGATAATTGTTATTTATTAAAAAAAACCCAAACAACAAAACCCAAACCAAAACAAAAACCCACAAAATTCCTCAGTTTCTCAAAATTATGAAATCCAGTATGACCACCAAATATTTGCTGGGAGGAGCAACCCAGGGTATCTTTAGCATTTCAACCGTACTCTATTACAGTTTCAACCATACTCTGTTACAACCGTACAGAGATTTTTAAGAATCTCTCTCTTACTATAGCAAATATTTCAATATTCTTGTTTTATTTATTGTCTTAGATACTGTTATAATAACTGCAAACTAGCATGCGTACAAGCTTCTGTTTGTGAACAGGGATGATTATTTTGGGATGTCTGATGCGGTTATTGCCCACAACTGTCTGTTTCTGCTGCACAGATAGTTGAGCTGCTCAGCAAGCGGCTCCTGGACAGCTGCAGTTTACATCATTATGTTTTCAGGCGACCTGTAATCAATACTGGGCTGTAAACTCCTCTGTTTTCAGAAACTGTTTGTTAGGAAGCTCAGGTATCCATGCGGCAGGGCAGCTAGGTGTCTGTGTAGTAACCTGATTAGCTGTTCCAATTTAAATTATCCTAGTTACTTAAAATTCAAACTATAGCATACATATATATGTACCTTCCTAATGGTTGTGTTAACACACATTTTCTAAAGCTTCTAGGCTTTAAGATCACTCTTGGTTATCTCTAAGCTTTCCCCTGTATCAGCCTTGTTTGATTTTTGTATTCAGTTTATTCATAAAATGTTTGATATTTGAAAGTTGTGCTGTTAATTGTGAAAGTGCATAGCTTTCTACAAATTGTCTCTCTTCCTGCGTTCCTGTTTTTAGCTGTGTGCGTGTACCTCATGGTGTCTCAAATGTTCTTGGATCCCTAAGGCCTGAGCTTCTTGGGCTGTGCAAACAGCAACTGATTTTGGGTTCATCACCAGCTTGTGTGCCTTGGCTGGGTTTTCATCTGAAACAAATTCTGAATGTTGTCATATATTGCAGGATGATGTTTTGGCATAGGTTTACAATCTAATAAACAACTTGGTCTTATAGTTCTGCATTAATGCATGGAGATCCGTGCAGTTACTAGTACCCTGTACTGGCAGAGATCTGCTCATATGTTTTAATTAAGAGTTAAAGGTTAGAGATAAGCAAATAGGTATATCTGTGCATGTACACGCCGTCATCGCAGACAGTTCTTATACTGTATATTATGAATTATTTGGTAGAAATGTCACATTATTTAGTTTTCAATCATGATAAGAAATGTAAAATGCTTGAAGAAGCAGTGAAGGGGGGTAGTCCTTATTTTTAGGCCAGTAATGGTCCTAGTTTTTAGAACTGACAAAACTTTTCTTTACTCAAAATGCGTAGCTTTACTTTTAATGTGCAAGATTTGCCACACAGCTTACTATTCTGCCAGAAAAAGCCCTACAAAACTAAAAAAATTAAACCTAAACATTTGTCTGGCATGCCCTTACATAAAAGGCATTAGGAAAAAATTAGAGACTGTTTACATTCTCCGCATCATTGTTGTTGATAATAAAGAAAACAAAATGATAGAATCCCTTTCCTAGCCTTCTTAAAATAAGAAAGCTAATGTAGGAAATGATACATTGAGCAAAGTTTTCTGTTATGGCCCAAAAAGCCATAGGCAGTAACGTTTAGGCCTGCTAATGAACTAGTCAAGCTCTATTTGAAGTTGATAGGAAGTATACTTGTTTGCATTTCCTTAAAATCTGCATTTGGCTTTTAGCTTTGGATTCTTCCAAAGCTGTACTGATGCTGCCTTTGCAGAATTACTGTTGGAGGGAAGGTGGGAGTATGAAAATACAAAACTAATTAAATTAACAGCTCTCAAAACTCTGAACAAAAGCTGCATCTGCTGAGACATGCACGCAGTGACTTTGTAACGTCTAATACACTTCCAGATGGCAGACTTACATATTTCCTCAGAATAATTACACAACTGAAATTTTAACTCATAGCCTGCTCTGAGACACTTTGGGTTCCCCGTTAAATGAGTTCTGAAGTGGAAACTGAGTGTCAATATCTTTCTTCAACATTGGAAAAACATTCTCATGAAGGAAAGTTCAATTATGCTTTCAGTGAGTGCTATTGTTTATTACTGTGTTAGCAACCAAATTTTGCTGTAAAAATGATTTATAGCTGTAGGTGCAACATCAGTCAGCTTTCCATCAGAAATTTTAACTCAGAGATTTAGATCAGAGTAGGTAAACTCACTGTTGCTGAGTCACCCTTGGTAACAGTGCTAAACCTAAAAATTAACACACTGGTTGCTTCTGAGTGATGCTGAGAGGAGGTGGAAACAGATGCCACTAGTCTGTCTGAGGAAACAAAGGTTTCTGTTGATCAGAAGAATTTAGAAGTAGAAGAGGCTATACTAATAGTAAATCTGGGAGAAGGAAGAAAAATAGATCGCATTAGGTCATCAATTTACAGGTAAAACTAAAGCAATGAAGTGTGGATGCTGTGAGGTCTTGCTTTGATTTCAGGGTTTTCCTAGGTAGTTCAGGATTGTTTAGGTATCTGATTGATGTTTTTATTTATGGTTTCCAACTCTGTAATTCCATTACTGTATGTATCTTATGCTTGCTGACGTGTAAATCATGAACTAGATGGGCACGTATTGTGTGCATTTGTGTTACACCCAGCACACTGAATTCCTTGCTGTATGAATAGGGTTTCTAAGCATTATGGGACAAGTTCTGCTCTTACCTTATACACGTGCGGGTTTGTTGTTTTAATGAAATTCACATCCGCAATTTTTATAAGTTAACTTGTCACTGGAGAATTCAGTGTGATGTTTTAGTCCAGCCTTTTTTTGTAGTGAAACCTTGGAGGTACCTACTAAGGATAGGTGAGAAGATGATATAAACCCATCTATGTAATCAGACTTCCTTCAATTTCTGCGTTTAGAAATAGTAGTAATAATTGCTCCACGTGGAAGAGTTGGAAGTATTTCAATGAGAGAAGAAAGGTGAAAAGGAAATGGGGTTTAAATTGCGTTGTAGTTAATTGCCATAGCCTATAACAGTATTGATTTTCTGGCAGTAGTGGCATTGTTCTTTGTCCTTAGGTTTGCTAAGCCCGATCAGCATTGTGCAACAAGAGCATCTCTGCCTTGAACAAAATCATTTTTAAGCTCAGCTGTTTTTTGCAGGGGCATCACTTTTGGGCAAGAGTCTTTAACTGTTCTATGGTTCTTTACAGCCATTAGAGAGAATCAAATTCTTCACCTTGTCTTTTTCTGTGCAACATTAAGGTGCAACAACCAGATTGCTCTGTGCTAATGGTGGAGTGTGAGATCTGCAATTCATTGCAAGATGTATCGGATTGTGGTGTTCTTCAAATTTAGAGGACAAGGTTGCTCCCTTAAAACAGTAGTTAGTAATAAGAGTTTGCTAAAACTTCAAACTACATCTTTCTTTGATAGTACTTCTGTAGTTATTGCTGCTATATATGAACATCTGTAAAAAGGAATTCTTATTTTAAAAAAAGGTTTGTAAGGACCTCTTAGTGTATGAATGTCCAAGCTTGCATAGAAAAAACTGTAAACAAGATAATTCTTCATCATTTATAATCGGTTTGTTACTCTAAGTATTATCTTCCAGTGAGATGGAAAAATGTCACGTGATTTTTGTGCTCAATCACGTATCACAGTTACAGAACAATCAAGTTAGTAGTTCACAAATAACTGATGGGTTGAAGCAGAAATAGTGCAAATTGCAAACAAGTAGATATGAAACCCGGTTCACCCA